TTGATACTGATGGGGACTGGAGATCCTGTCATCAAGACATCAGTCTGGGTAGCGAGTGCTGCCACAACAAGACATCAGTATCTTGGGCATAATCAACATTGCTTTGGTGGCAGGGCAATTGAGTGACAGTTTTATCAATTGGCACTTACTCATTGCAGCCATCTGGGTCGTGCACTTCTGGTTATCCTCTTCTGAATAGTGTGTGTCAATGCTCTATGTAGCAGGATTGTAGTCTTAAATAATCTAAGTAGGACCTATGTAGTTTACATTGCTAATTGTTTCAAGTGTTTGTTTTAAATTATATTTGAAACATAGTAATTATCATAAACTGGAACGAGGAAGATTGCAAGTATTTTTAGGTATATGTTTGTCACTTGCAAAGGGGATATTTCCTTCACCCTAGGTGTGTCAGTGTTTCTTTGAGATTACCTTTTGTCTGAAGTGATTGATGCATTCTCCACTTGCTGTGCTTATCGGTCCCGCTCTCTGTTTCTTGGTCTCTTTGAGCTGACCACCTTCTGTGTCTTTCAACTGCCAGATGTCTGCCAGATGAGTAAGCTTCAATCACATACACATTCACACTGATTCACAATGACAATAAGGGGATACATATCATGGCCCTAAAACCAATGCTTTATAAGAAATTATGAACATATATTATATGCAGAAGAAAACAAGATCAGAACTTGGAATAATTGTTTGTATTTGAAGCACAGAGAAAAATGTTGGAGATTTAAAGGGATATCTGGTCCGCTTTTCAAATCTCCGCGCGTTCCTATGAAGCTGGTTATAATACAGGAAGGAATCCATATCTACAAAGTAACCGTTAACAATAATCTACTTTAATGGCAATATGACAATGCAATACAATCATTACAATACAACATGATATATTACAGTTATATTGTAATGCTTAAGGAGTAATACCGGCTTACTCCTGCACTCGTTCGCATACTGCAGAGCTACTTTCACCCGAGGGCAGCATGTGAAGAAGAGGCCGAACGCCAGGGATCCACCGGATATATACCAGAGTAAGAAGGAGGGGTTTGGTGTTAGGTCAGCTGGTCATCTCTTCAGGTCATCTCATTGGGAGACGCAACGCTGGCCAGCAGGAAACCAAACAGGCTCACTTTCCAACAAAAGGTCTCAAGGCCTGCATACCTACACCTCCCCCACAGAGCAATAAAACCCTGTTTACTCCAACCAGCCCAGAATGTTTATAGCCATTTGTAGTCCTTACATTTATGAAAGGATAAAACAGAGAAATCAATATAAAACACAAACACAGGTATTGTTTGAACAGTATTCACTTAACTGCTACTGTTGATAACCACCAGAGAAACCCAAGGGACCTCTCTTAATATTACAAACCATTGTAGCTAGATCTAAGTTGAATGCAAATCAGGACATGCTCTCACCTTCCCCCATCTTCCTTTGTCCTCAAAAACACATGTCAACAGGCCCCATATCCAGCTCACAGTTTTACCCAAATTATTCCCATTTTAAGCTTATCCATAGTTTGCTACCATGAATAAATACAAATATAACTCTACAAAAAGGAGAGATAATAAAATGAAAAAAGCAGAATTGCACACATTCGTGGCCATTTTGTCAACATGTAGGTCAGACGGCCATCATCATGTGTGTTAGCCCAGCCAAGGTGTACGATAATTTGTGTTGCCCTACATGATTTATCAGATCATTTGTAGGTATTGATTATTTTTTTCAAGTGAATTACTTAAAACGTCCTGGTTATAATGGAATAAAAGACAAGAAGTGGTTTAAAATGCAAGAAATAGCAAATCGTTTGTAAAAAGTAAAAAATGTTCACATAGTTGACAAAGCAAGATACAGTTCTAACTAGATGGCAAACAAATCTTATACTTTATTGTTGTCTAATCAGAAATTCCTCAAATATATGTTCTGATAAGGGCATTAGTAAATACAAGCTGTGTTCCTCCCTTTTCACCATAGTACTTGGCTTTTAGAGGGCAGAAGAAAAAAAGTACAAGCCATAGTTCTCACATAAACAATATTGTGTACATATACTCACCTCTTTAGGCTGTCTATTGAAAAAATGTTTAAAAAGAATTACAGGCCCAACAAATCATCACATATCATATCATCTTATCATCTTAAATGTGCCGTTGCTTTTTCGGAAACCCTCGTACGTCTCCATCTCTTTTCGTTGTGGTCTGCGAGCCGGTCATAACACTGTAAAGAGGCTTGACAGCAAACAAAAATGTCCGAAGAGTTTCAGAACATGTACCTGCAGCAATAAACAAGTGTCTTGTTTCTGTTCATGGGCCTTGAAAATCCAAAGTATTTTAAATAAACTATTCCTTAACAAAGCATTCTCCAGAATTGTTCGGTGTTTTGGTAACATTAATGGAAGCCATAACTTTTAGTTGTACCAGTTTCTTTCCAGTTTTCATTTATCAAGCTAAAATACATTTCAGCTGGCCCTGACTGCCTGCAAGGGTCCAAACTGAGGTCAAAAGCTTTAATCTCTACAAGGTTCCCATATGGATTGCTACCAGTCTCTACGGAAACTGTTACAATTACTTTGAGTTACTAACCTCTGCCACATTGTGCCGGTCTGCATCTTTGGGTAGTGTCTCCCCTGACACACTTAAAATAATTACTTCAATTTTAGTGGAGGAAATGTCACCATCCAACCCAGCAGATAAAACCTATCCCAACCTAATTAAAACAAACACAGTTGGTGAGGGTCATTTATTATAAAGAGTAATGACATAATGAATTTAAATACACAGATAATAAATACTATCCCAAAAGTAACAACTCTCCAACCTTGGAAATGTTTTCCCTGCACTCTTAAAACTACTGGGTTAAAAAATAACCCAATCATAACCCAGCTGCTGAGTCACTATAGGAAAGAACATGCGCTGGGTTGTCTTAACCCATGTGCTGGGCTGGATAATTGTAACCCATGTGCTGAGTTGTTTATTTGACCCAAGCTAGTGATTGAAATTAACTATATCACTGGGTTAAATATAAACCATACATTGGGTTGTTTATTTGACCCAAGCTATTGATTGAAATTAACTATATCACTGGGTTAATTATAAACCATACATTGGGTTGTTCATTTGACCCAAGCTAGTGATTGAAATTAACTATATTGTTGGGCTAAATAGAATATAATAATAATGTATAATAGTGTAATGAATTATCTCCAAACACACCGTATATATATATAAAAATGCATTTATTGATAATTTGACCAGCTTTGGCAAATCGCCAACATTCCATTTCCACTATAAAAGAACAATGCATTTTAGCACAATACAAATTCAATATATTTAACTCTTAAATAAATAAAAAAAACACCTTAAAAACAGTGCTAGGGCCTTGAGAAATATCTGTATTTTAACCATCACTTATGAGTGAACACCATTTTCAGGAACAGTTCTGCGTATTAATTTAACACATGGACCATAAAGACCCAATACATATAAAAGTATAAAACAACATCTACGAACAGTCCTTCAACTTGAAGCTGAACAGTAACAAATCTGTCAATGAACACAACAGAACACAGATTTAAAGCAGCAGGATGTAAACAGAGGAGAACAGTGTGTGTGTGTGTATGTGTATGTGTATGTGTGTGTGTGTGTGTGTGTGTGTGTGTGTGTGTGTGTGTGTGTGTGTGTGTGTGTGTGTGTGTGTGTGTGTGTGTGTGTGTGTGTGTGTGTGTGTGTGTGTGTGTGTGTGTGTGTGTGTGTGTGTGTGTGTGTGTGTGTGGTGTGTGTTGTGTGTGTGTGTGTGTGTGTGTGTGTGTGTGTGTGTGTGTGTGTGATTGTTAAAGTACAACTTTGTTGGTAGGATTAAACTGCCAAAAGCTTTTTCAGGCTCAACACCCTGGGCTTCAAGTTCCCCTCATCCAGGCCCATCAACACTTTCTGGGTGAAGTCGAAAGTGTTGGCCAAGTCTTTTGGGTAGCTCAGATGCAGGGCAAAGGTCAGTGCAAAAAGCAGGATGAATGCGTCAGCCAGTGTGGGGAGTTGGATAACTCCGTTACCCTCAATGACAACAGTGATCCTATGGGCAGAAGAGCGTGGTGTCTGTTGACCTGGCACTGATCATGAGAAGTCCGACCGCGATGCCCTCTGTGCCTGGATCATCAGACTGCTCCACCTGATGACAAGAACAGATAAACGTTACCCAAATTCCCTATCTCAGAAATGTGTTTTCTGAAAAATACATCAGTGACATATCACATAAAATAACCTTATGTTTTATGCATAATGTGGGTTTAAGGAAACGCCTATTAGCATTGCACAACATAATGTTACAGCACCAAAAACGTCAGCCTCCAAAAAAACATGTATAACCTTCATAAGGGTAGGATTTATTTTATCACTGTATTAGACTGTTACTATTAGCTAGTTGTACCTAATAAACTGGCAACTGAATATATATTTACAGTATAATATCTCCCTACTACACATACAAAAAAATATGGGGAACACTAGAGATTATTTTGTATTGAACACTGATGCTGCAGGAAAGAAAGCCCTCTCTTGATTGTGTATTTTATTAAATCACGTGAGCCCATTTTTTACACTGAAACCTAGAGCTTAATTTCAAATAAATCCTAAAGTAGAAATCATATTCAACACTTCTGAAGTGTTGAAGTAAAGGGAGATTATGTTCAACATGTCCATTGTGTACCTTACAATAATTACAATTCTTATAGCAATATTCAAATCTTGGAACTAGAACCTGAATGGGATGTGAGCAACACAAGATATAATGATTTTGATTAACAACACCTCAGTGACAGAATCATGCTTTGATGACACCAGGACAGTTCATACTTTTTCAAACTAAATCTATCATTTATTATAATGTTTTCACTATAAAAATTCAAATAATTGTCTTCCTGCGATAGATCTCCTGAAACAATGTAACAAGATAAACTATATTTTTGGATGATCTGTCACATACATTCAAAACAGTTATTATGCTGACTTACATGCCACAGCCTCAGAAACGTGGAGTCATCTTCATGCAGATATGCAGGCACAGCACAGAGGACAGCAGCACGTCGGACATGGACGTCACCTTGCTCCTTGAGTGTGAGAACATATCTTTGTTTTACTTTGGATGCTAAACAGTATAACCACACAACAATTAATATCACAAGAAAGGGCTCTTCCATGACTGAAGAGATTAACATTTTGACAAAGATAATCCACTCTAGTATGAGAATAAAACACCAAGAGGCATAACCGACTCACCTGGAGGTCATAGGAGGTGAATAGCTGATCCAGAAGTTCAGTTTCCTTTCCTTCCCTTGCCGCCTTCTTCCTGAACAGGCTCTGAAGACGGGGGGGACATGTCTATCCAACTCCGCATAGAAGTGGTTCTTCAGGTTGAGGTTTGTTATCCTGTGAAACTCTGCCAAAATATAAAATGACTATTTAATTCACAGTACAATGTATATGTGGACTGAAGGCAGCAGAGATAAACAGAAACATAACATGCTAAATCTGAGTAAACATGTCAAAGTTATCAGTGACAAAGGCACACAAAATAATTGTATAGTTGTAATAAATAAAATATTTTCACCTGTGACTCCATTTTCAAGGCAGGCCAGCGTTCCAGGATCTCTCCAACAGGTAGCTCATCATTGATGATCTCATTGCGCTGCAGGGCAAAGGTAGTCTGCATTAACTTTTAAATCAAGGGAATAATAATGTTATAATGTTCAAGTAACTCTGCCCTTGTATCAAAGACAGCAGCACAAAGTTTGCATCTCCAAGCCATTGGAAAATGTAACAATATTCACAGGCACCAACACAAATATAATTTCAGTGTTGAGCACTAAATATTCATTCACATTTTAGTAACCATGTGGAATAAACATGGACGCGGGAAGGGACTGCAGCACCCCCAAACGCGGCGCACCTACAGTGTAACCCCCAGTTTCCAATGGGTCTGTCTGCGCCGCGCTGCGCCGCGTCACGGTTTTGGTCCGACCTCCTCTAGCGCCATAACCCACCGGACGCGTCCCTGAAGAGTTTCAGAAGCGTAGCATCGTGCGTGCAGGCTCGCAGTTTTGTTATTGATTCGGGCATCCTGGACATTTGTACTTCTACAAGAAAGTAAGTAGGCTACGTAGTTAAATGTTTTATTTTTGTGTCTGTTTAAATTGTGTTTATTAAATGGCTCTGTACTGTACCTACAAGTATTAATTAACTTTAAAACATTAATATGTACTTGTTACCTTCCACTCCACAAACTGCAGCGACTAAAAACCAGGCCTTGTCCTTTCTGATGTTGTCCTTGTAGTAAGCATTGGTTACATCATATAAAATAGTGTGTTTTTCCACTTCCATGATGAAAACCTCGTCGTCCATTGTGCGTATCATAGTGGAGGTATTGTGATGAAGGAGGGGGGTCTGCTAAATTAGTATATGTGGGGGATGGGCCTGGCCCGGATGCTCACCTTTCCACTTCCTGCGAGGGGGGGCTGCCTGCCCGACCTTATGTTACGGCTGCGCCGCGGCAAAAATAGAATTCATCCTAATTTTAGAGAAGCGCTGCGCCGAGCCGCTTCTGGGACGCGTCTGAGCCGTAACATGGCGCGTGTGGTGGAATAGGACCCATTGACTAGAGTGGCTGCGATCCTTACGACCGCCGCGGCGCAACCGTAACGCGGCGCAACCGTAACACGGCGCAGCGCGGCGCAGACGGACCCGGTGGAAACTGGGGGTAACAGCCCCTACAAACGGCGGCGTGCGTTGACGCTTGCCGGCGGGCATGTCTGAAGCTAGACCAACAACCAATCACATGAAAGCTACGCTTTGCTCCCACAATGCAGTTCGGCTAAGCGTGAAGTCACCCCATTCAAAGTGAATGGGCAGAAGCGTCAACGCACGCCGCCGTGGGTAGGGGCCGTAACTTTATTTTAAATGATTATTCATGCATATTTTGCTAATCACTCCCCCCTCAAATGGAAATATGTGTTTACATAAATGGTGACCAAACCGTTTGAGACCCACTGAGATAACTTAGACTAAGTTAACTATCTAAGCACTCAGAGAGTAATTTACCTCACCTGAGCTGTAGCAGTCTCTCAGTCTGACAGGAGAGGACTCTCCTCCACATTGTTGTTGAAAAAGCTCCTTATATCCGTTAGCGCAGCTAGCTAGCACCAGATGCTAACAACAACAATACACGTAACCGGCGCGCACGCTTTATCTCACTGGCTCGCGCCACACATACACTAACACACACCCTCCCGAGCTTGAATGACACACAGAGACCAATCGAGGGCATTAGTATGATCTGTATGAAAGTGGCCATGTCGGCAGGCCACATCATGTAGACAGCCAGTCACCCTCTGTGAGAGGCAGAGTCAGACCCACATTTGCGCAGCGTTGCGTTCACAATACATACATAAACAAAATAAATCCTTAGGCCAGCAGGCCACTTAACAGGCCAGGCCATCGGGAAACCTCCCGGTCCTCCCGATGGCCAGTCCGGGCCTGCCTTTCAGTTGCATTTGAAACAACTAAAAATTAGTGCTGTCAAAATTATCGCGTTAACGGCGGTAATTAATTTTTTGAATTAATTGCGTTAAAATATTTAACGCATTTAACGCATGTGCAGAATGGCCCGCCCCATACGTGCCACCAGTGGCAGCGCCAGGGTATGGCTGGGGTAGGCTACACCCATACCAAGAAATGGCTTAGCCCCACCATGAAAAATGATGTTAAAGTAAGCGAAATAAAGTCTGCCAACTCGCGCGGAGTAAATTGCACAGACAGCTGTTAGTAAGATTGATTTCAGTAGCCACGGTTTTGAAAACTTTTGTCACGTAGTGATCGTCTTCTCAATAGAACATCTTTGATAACGGCGTGGTGTTGTTGCAGGAAGTCCCGACGGAGAATACCTTTGCTGTAGTACGGGGTGCACATAACTGGTACGCAGGTTATGTGCGTAATCTGAAATGCGTACCGTCACTTGTGTCACAAAGCGCATTTGCGTACCGACGTACTTGTGAAGCTTTTCCAGAAGGCGGTTAGATCACCGGACGACAGAGTCGGTCTCCGTGTGCACAGACAGGGCTGCTGTTAACGTCGGTCTGTACAACGGAATTGTGCCAAAACTACGCCAACCGGCCGCCCCCCCCCTCTGTCGACTTTCCTGAAGTACTCCCCCGTTGATAGAAATCAACACGTATGAATTAAGACCCCACGGTTTGATGATTGATAGGTGTGTGGGTTGTCTTTCATTTTGACACGCAGAAAAATGTTTTAATAAACATAGATAGGCTACTGTATGTTAAATGGATATATCCGCCTTCTTTCATTTATCTTTCCATTCCCACAAAAATATACATAAATAAATGGCATATTTTGGACATAGTTCGAATGGTGATTAATCATGATTAATTAATTTTAAAGCTGTGATTAATCTGATTAAAAATTGTAATCGTTTGACAGCCCTACTAAAAATACATACTTACATTACACTGTCGTACAATACTCAGGGGGGGGGGGGGGTGGGGGCTAAAAAAAACGGTCTAATTTTGTCAGTTTAGCTGTTACATCTCCTTGTTCTCTCTTGTCCTTTCTCTTTTGAGCGCCGCTCTTGTGCTTTGGTTTGCTGTACATTATATATGCAAGCTTAGCTATTACATTTTTTATAATGCTGCCGAACTTGCTGCTGCTAGCTACAGTACAGTAGTAGGCTACAGGTTGATTAAACGGTTCGCTGCTCGTCACGCAATGTATCACATGTACGGTGGCCCTGAAGTGCAAGACACCACAGCATTTCAGAAAACACTACAGCATTTCAGAAAACACTACAGCATTTCAGAAAACGCTACAGCATTTCACAAAAAACAACTGCATTTCACAAAACGCCGCAGCATTTCACAAAAAACTGCAGCATTTCACAAAACGCCACAGCATTTCACAAAAACAACTGCATTTCACAAAACGCAACAGCATTTCACAAAAAACAACTGCATTTCACAAAACGCAACATCATTTCACAAAACGCTACAGCATTTCAAAAAACACAACAGCATTTCACAAAACGCCATAGAATTTCACAAAACACTACAGCATTTCACAAAACACTGTAGCATTTCAGAAAACGCCACAGCATTTCAGAAAACACTACAGCATTTCAGAAAACGCCACAGCATTTCAGAAAACACTACAGCATTTCACAAAACGCCACAGCATTTCACAAAACGCTGCAGCATTTCAGAAAACACCACAGCATTTCAGAAAACACCACAGCATTTCACATTGGACAGAAAGGGTATTCCTTTAGGGAGAACACTTGTTGTTTGTGATTGGACAGAGCCAGCCAGAGAAGCACTGCTGTGATCAGTGGCGTTGCGCAATATTTTGGGGCTCCCCCGCAGGTCGGACCATGGGGCCCCGCCCCCTCCCCTAAATCAATAATAGAGTGACATGGGATAGACATCGCGGCCACTTTTTTAAATGTTTATTTTTTCAGGCATCTTTTGTAAACAGTAGGCCTATAGGTCAGTAGGAACTTTCTGTATAAAGATAAATCTGATTTAAACAGTATAGGGTCAGTAGGAACTTTCTGTATAATATACATCTGATTTAAACAGTAAGGTCAGTAGGAACTGTATAATAATATACATCTGATTTAAACATCATTGACAAATACAAACAAGTGGCTGTGTATTTTTTGTAACATGAAGGTATATTGTAGAACGTTATAGCCTATCATCATTGGAGTTCACACAACGGAACGGTTCACATATATATAACATTCTGTATAAAATAAAAGTAGCCTACACAAAACAAACAAATAAAACACATCCTATAGGCTACATAGAGGATGCAATCAGGAGCTGCTTTGTAGGCCTATTATTTTATACGAGCGCGTCTCCTGGCATTCTTCTGCGCAAAGTCCTGTATAACAGTCTTTAAATCTATACTGCGCGCGCGTCGGCTCTCAATACTAAGGACTGCTAACCCAGACAGTCTCTCTTGCGACATTGTGCTCCTCAAATATGTCTTTATTAATTTAAGTTTTGAGAAAGATCTCTCAGCACTGGCAACAGTCACGGGTATAGTTAAAAACAATTTCAGTGCTGTGGCAACATCGGGGATACTTGGCAAAATGGACTGATTTTCAATGAGCAGGGTTTGTGCAAGGTCTTTGATTGTTCCACGCTCAATTTTCTTTATAGTAGGCCTAAGAGCATTACGGAGGGACAGGATCTGGAAAGGAAACTCGGCTGACAGGTCGTCTTTATACTGGCCTGATAAAGCACTTGCGGACTCAGACAGATCCTTGTCTGTTGCACGCAAAAGTTTGCGGGGAAGCAGAAAAGAAAATCGCTGTGCAACTTCGCTCATTCCAACAAATCGATTTTTGAGTTGGGCAACGACAATATCGATATTTGCGTAAAATACCGCCACTCTAAAATGCTCCCCTGGGTCTTGGAGCCGCTGGTCCTCGCAAAGCTCTGAAAAGTGCCTCTTTGTGCGCCTTGCACGTCTGTCTTTGAAGAGACTGTGGACACCCCATGAGGATGCCAGGTCTTGCGCGTGCGCTTTTAAGCCATCAAACTCTCCTCGGAGTTGGGCAAGTGTATCTGTTGCGTTACC